GTGGCTTCATGGCAACATTCATTAATTGACATAACATGACACATCAGTTGTCACATAAGGTGATCAACTAAGGTGGTCAATATTGTGTGTCTAAATAGCATTACTCAATTTTTTTTTCGGTCGGACACTGAAACAGACAATTCAGACAAAGGGCCATCACAAATATCACAGAAGCCTCGAGTAGTGGGAACACATAGAGCTTTGGGTTTTAATCTTTAATATATTGGCCACACATACATAATTGCGTTGAAGAAGTTCATGAGGGTGCAAGGACACTTCCTCTGCGTGGGAGCAGAGAAATGAACCTTTTTTTTTTAGAGAGAGAGAGAGAGGGTGCAAGGCCAGTTTTCAGTCCTTTCGGTTTTGAATTTGATCCGGTGCAAGCCGCGTAGCCGATTATCTTGTTCTCTTTTATCCCTGAACATTTTTGTAAATGAGTAGCTTTATCGTCTTCCTTTTTTAAGGGTGCATGTGATACGAAATATGAATGCAGCAAAGGTCAGGCAAGTCCAAAGGGTCAATTTCCCCTTCCCTTCCTGACGACCCCCAAAAAAAAATCGAGATGCCATGTATTACCCAGAGCATTGTTGAGATGACACATGTACCCCCATGCGGACGTATAATAATTGTCTGAAGTCAGGGAAACATCAAATTCAAACAATGAACAAGACGTCATATTCTCTCGCCAGTTTTTAGGGAAAAGCACTCCCTCGTGTTACACGTTCTGTTCTGGATCCTTCTTATTTCAATTCAAACCCAAAATAATATGAGCATAAAAGATTCTTAATTCTTAATTATTTAAAACACACATCGTTTTTACAAATGAAAGAATAAATTTTATTATTATTTTCATTTACTGTTGATATGCCCTAGGAGCTTACATTTCCTAGAGTTCTTTAGAGGTATTGGTGTATTATTCTTATTAGAGCTGTCTTATGTCTTTCATAATTTTAATACAAGCGATATTAAAAGAGAGGAGAATCAAACACAACACCTCGAGTGAATGATCATTTCAGTTATAAGCTCTTTGACTCCATAGTGTAATTTAAGAAGACATCATCTTAAACTTGTTGCTTGCTAGTGTTAGTTGGGATTTGATAAAGGACTTATTTATTTATAATAAAAGTAATGATTTTCTAAGGCATTATCCTTTGTGCATGATGCTCAACGTGGGAATGCTTTTATCCTTTTCAGTTTTGCGTCAGTCTCCAGTCTCCACTCATCATTTGTATTTGCAGATTGCCTATCTATCCCTGACTTCCTTTGGACCACTGCCTTGATCAAATAATTAAATATAAATATATAAATATATGTCCTCCATTATCTAGCTGGGAGCAGGACGCGTGAAATGTTTACAGCACGTGCTTTAATATCTTCATGCGGTGTGAATTGAATTATTATAGTTAGTAGAAATGCAAAATCTTTGACAAATTCATAAACGCCCTCTTTGCTTGTGCTTGTGCCACATGGCTCGGCCTCTGATAAAATTGGAAACAATTATATATATATAGTTATTCTCTTATCCGGATGTCCGCACATTATTATCGTGCGGATCCTATTGTAAACATGCAGGAAAATAGAAAGGGGTAGTACAAAATACATAGCGTCCGCACGATAATAACGTCCGGATGTCCGCATAAGAGAATTTCTGTATATTGTTTTTATAAAGTAAAAACAATATTGTTGTATTTTATTTTTCAAATGTGTTATCACAAAATTGATGTAGGTGTAAGATTTGAATATCCTTCTCTTAAAATTGGTTTATGATATTGTTGCTCAAAGTATTTAACAGACCTTTTTCTTTTGTTTTCTAAAAACATTATGCGACTATATAAGGATAATGCAGTTTGGATTTACTAGTATTACTAGGCTCTTTACCCTCACCTTCAAACTGAGAGTTCGAAAATCGACCCAAAAAAAAACACTCAGAGTCTGAACTTCTCTCTCTCTCTCTCTCTCTCTCTCTCTCTCTCTCTCTCTCTCTCTCCTTTTTAATAGAAGAAAAGATATGTGAAACAAAGAACCAATTATGTGAGACAGAGATAAAAATGACAAAAAATGAAAATGATTTTGCTTATAAAAAAAGGACATGGAATTGAAAAGGGAATTGTGGTCCGCTTGCTTGAAGAAATCGACTATATATGTCTGTTTCCCCTCCCGTGTTGCACATGGATCTGTAAATTCATCAAATTAATGGTTAAATTGTTAAACCAGGGCAGTGACATCAAGGGAGGCCCTGAGCACAAACAGGTAAGGCCTGCTTAGGGTCCCCGAGTTGAGAGGTCCCTCAACTTGTAGAAAGTCCTATATATACATATTTATGTTAAGTTTTTTAAAATATATATAAATATTATGTTAAGTCCAAGTATTGTGTCCGAGAGCATCTGAGTATTTTTCCATTCAAACTAAACTTCCATTGACAAGCGCATCTGAGTAACATATAATTCCGCCATATATCAAATTCCTCTTGGCACTTATGACTGAATTTTTTTCAAGTACGTACCATGGTAAAGTATCCAACCCATAGAGCTTAAGTACTTATGATGAGAAACCTTAATGGGTTCAAAAGAGCGGGTTATGGCAATGAGCAATTTAGAATATCACATTCTTCAAAAGAACGGATTAGAGTAGTGGGCAGTTTAGAATATTGCATTGTTAAAACAAAAGTATGATATTGCACAAAATTAATTCATAAATGAAACTCATTATTTTTCGAGCCCTACCTAACTTCGTATATTTCTCATGTGCCTCAATTAATTTATGGCATGGTTGTATTTTTTTTATAAAGGTAATTAATTGATTTACAGCTCATGTATTTCATTCTTATCTTTTAGCTAGGTCTACAAGATTCTAGAATTTTATTGTTTAGCTGCTTATAAGTTTGTAGTTTGTGCAAAGAACCCACTAATGTATTGCATTCATATATCATGCATGGACTGGAAGGAAACGATGTTTACTTCACTACTAAAAAAACACACACTAGCCACTGATATGAATTTGTCTCCTAAGTTGATTTTAGAGACAATAAATTGTCTCCATTAAGCAATAGAGACTATGCAGCGACTATTTTTGTTTCAGTATCCTAGTTTGGGGTTGCTATTGCTTATTAGGTACAATTTTGGGAGTCAGTCCTTCAATATTTTCAAATAAACAAATACATTATCAGCCAAGCCCAGCCATATTGAATTCTTCCAAGCCGTGGGGTCTTGGGAGAGGGTCTGATATTTGAGAGGCTATCTTCTAAATTAGGGACTAATGACATGTCAGTATCTCATTACTTTATTACATATGTTTAACTAATAATACAATTAAACCCATCAGTCCCCAATTCCATATATCCAAAAAAAAATATATCCAAATATATGCACCATTTCTCTGAATATTAATTCCTAATTTTCAAGATGGATTTTTGGGTTCGAATCACTCCTACAAAAACTGCAAGCCATATATGCAACAATTCCTCGTCCTCGAAGTCAACCATTTCTTAGAGGATCACCAACCATTTGAAGTCACAAACCTGAAGAAAATATATTCAGAAAATCTCCATATGAGCAGAGAATCATATACCGAAAACCCTAAACTTTCTTTTGACCCGTTGCTCTAACAGCCATATATAAATATATATCAGACCAAAGTCAAAATCAGATGCTGGAACCAAAATAAGTAAAGGCACACTGAAAAAGAATGATATTATGATTTTTCAATTACCAGTTCATCAGCGCCTTCTTCCATAACGAAACCATCACGGTATTTGTCCCAGATTTTCTCTCATCAACTTCCAGATAGGCATCTTACCAAGTCACACTGCTCCAACTCTTCAATTTCCAGATCGGGATCTCAAGCCGCAGCCTAGTATTTTGTGACCAGATGGCTTTGTGATTCACGCAAAAAGAATAAGAGAGAGAGAGAGAGAGAGAGAGAGAGAGAGAGAGAGAGAGAGAGAGAGAGAGAGAGAGAGAGAGAGAGAGAGAGAGAGAGAGAGAGAGAGAGAGAGAGAGAGAGAGAGAGAGAGAGAGAGAGAGAGAGAGAGAGAGAGAGAGAGAGAGAGAGAGAGAGAGAGAGAGAGAGAGAGAGAGAGAGAGAGAGAGAGAGAGAGAGAGAGAGAGAGAGAGAGAGAGAGAGAGAGAGAGAGAGAGAGAGAGAGAGAGAGAGAGAGAGAGAGAGAGAGAGAGAGAGAGAGAGAGAGAGAGAGAGAGAGAGAGAGAGAGAGAGAGAGAGAGAGAGAGAGAGAGAGAGAGAGAGAGAGAGAGAGAGAGAGAGAGAGAGAGAGAGAGAGAGAGAGAGAGAGAGAGAGAGAGAGAGAGAGAGAGAGAGAGAGAGAGAGAGAGAGAGAGAGAGAGAGAGAGAGAGAGAGAGAGAGAGAGAGAGAGAGAGAGAGAGAGAGAGAGAGAGAGAGAGAGAGAGAGAGAGAGAGAGAGAGAGAGAGAGAGAGAGAGAGAGAGAGAGAGAGAGAGGTGAAACAAATCATTCTTTTTTCTCTCTTTTGCTTATGTCCAAGTGTTTGAAGTTGAGAAATAAAAAATGTGTTTTAACATTGGGCTGTGTGAAAATATCCAATGGAAGAAACTACCAAAAGCAATCAGTATCCAATTTAAGGCCAAATGCCAAAGCTTTTGAGTGAAGGGAGCCAGCCAAGCTTGTTTGTGTTATTTGTGAATGGAGCCGGCTTCTTTTGATAAGTTGGGACTGATAATAACAAGTTGGGACTGATAAAAATGCCCAAATATTAAGGAAAAATAAAGAAAAATACTTTTTTGTATTACACACTAATATCTATCCCAAATACCTTTAATAGGCATGGTGGGAGAATTAGTATCCAAAAAAAAATCACAAGGCACTTTTATGAATTTGTATCTAAATAATCAGTGGCTAGTAGCCATATTTCTAGTAGTGCTTTCTCTAACTCATGTGACATTAATAGCATTATGTCTTTGTTCCACACGTTCTTGTTTAGACTTCAGATTCAAACTCCATATTTAATCTTGACATGCATATCACTCTCAAAATGTTGAAGTTGTCTTCTCAAACCTATCATCTCTTAATTCTTGGATGAGTGCTTTAGTGGAAGAAACACGATTCATGGCATTTATGATGTCTTGGGATTGACATTGCAAAGCTTGACAAAGATCATTAGTGATCTCCATAAGTTCTTTCATAAGATGTAAGATAAAGACAAATTCATATGAAGTCATTGCCTCATAAGCTGCATCAGCATCTCCTCGTTGAGAATAAGTAGTTCCGTTATCAATTATATTAATTAGAACTGTGCATGTTGCACTAAACATATTTACCAAGCTAGTAATTGATTTCAAACGAGTATCACCAGCATGTTGTAAGGTGCCAATTTGGTTCACTCCTTTCCCAGTCACGAGCTCATCAATTGCAATCATGTGCTCAATTTCAGCAGCTTGAGCATTTTTTAGTTCTTCATTACGCTTGCATGAAGCACCAACAATATTGACAATAGAAGTCAATTTAGTGAAAAAGTGGTGAACATGAATAACTTCTCTTGATGATGCAATTAATGCCAATTGTAATCGATGTGCTAAACAATGAACATAGTAAGCATATGAGCAATCATTCAAAATCAAAGCTTGTAACCCATTCCATTCACCTCGCATGTTACTTGCACCATCGTATCCTTGTCCTCTAATATTTTGAATATTTAGTGAATTATGAGACAATATAGAGTATATAAATTTCTTCAGAGTTAATGCCTAAGCGTTTGATACATGACAAGCCCAAAAAAAGGCTCCTGAATAAGACATTCTTTGTCAACAAATCGCAACACTATAGCCATTTGCTCTCTCTTAGATTCATCACGCACTTCATCAACAATTATACAAAACTTTGATTCCCCAATTTCTTCACAGATTGCTTTCTTCACTGTAGTTGAAAAAACATGTAAAATTTCTTTTTGGATATGTGGTGATGTGTAAGAGGCATTTTTGGGAGCTTTATCTAAGATAACTCCAGCAACTTTTTCATTATATGCAGCCAATATTTCTAACATTTGAAGAAAATTTCCACGATTGATTGAATTCCTTTTTTCATCATGGCCTCTAAAAGCACATCCTTGGAATGCAAGCCGCCTGACTGCTTCAATTGTTGCCTTAAGTCGTAGTCGATTGTCTGCAATTTGTTGGGAAGAATAATTCTCAACGACTTTCTGTATATGCTGGGATTGATTCATCAAATCCAAACATGATATTTCAGCAATTTTATGAGGGGAGTTAGGATCTTTCCCCTCGTGATTTAGAAAAGAACAATTTTTTCCATCTCTAA